TAATATAAACTAGGAAATAAATAATAAATAGATAACTAAATATGAAGCCTCTCGTATTTTTCCATATAAGCGAATGCGGCTTCATCTGCATCACATAGTCAATCTTCAATGTCTTGCCGATGCCATGGTATTTTTTTGGATTTTTTCGACATTTTTTTGACGGTCAAAAGAGCCGTGAAAAGTCGAGAGGGAAAGAGTAGAGAGAGAAAGTAGAGAGATAGTCATAAGGGCAAAAACGTAATTGGGGGGACGGTGATTAGTAAAAGGGAGGCGGTAAATAGTAATACCCATTTTAAATAGCATATATATATATAATAATTGAGAAGAAAAACTTGCTTTGAAATGCGAACAATATATTCATGATCTCAGTCATCTTCAAGTTTCTCATGACCTCAAAAGTATAATATGTAAGCAAAATGCAGAAGAATATAATTATTATGATATATATCAGAATAACACATGAGTGTTGACTATGAATATTGATGTCATAGTCACCCACAATATTTGCTACTAAGCTTTCAAATAGTAACAATAATAATTTTTTACTAAAACAGGAAACTATCCCTAATAGAAGTTATGGGGAAGAGTGAAGTTTTGCTCAACTCGGTCTTGACATTCTTTGAGATATGATCTTAAATTAAGATAGATAATCTCAAGAGATGTAAGAATTCAACTATTGCAAATTCATATCATGGTTAGGTTTTACATGTAATTTGTGTTGTGCACATATCGGGTTTTCACCGTTCGATCAATACACTCGTATAAGCGTACAAGTGATCCAACGGCGAGAAATCTGGCGAAGTGTGAACTACAAACACTTGTAGGTCGAATCTACCTAGGGCTGTGAACGAGCCGAGCCGAGCTCGAGCTTAGAGTGCTCGAGCTCGAGCCCTTAACAAGCCGAGCCGAGCTCGACTTCTTAAATAAACGAGCCAGAAATCGAGCTCGAGCCTTAACGAGATTCTCTTTTCGAGTCGAACTATAAAAAATAAAAAATAAAAAAAAAAAGAGCTTTAAATGAGGTCGCACTCGACCCATTAAAGCCTCGAACTCGAGCTGACAAACTCGAGCGTTAACGAGCCGAGCCGAGACATGCTCGTTTAATTTAACAGCACTAAATCTACCAAGAAGATGGGGGATCATGAAATCCAAAATCTTGATAACTTCCTTTTTTTTCTTTTTTTTGATCCAAACATCCATTCATTATGGTAAATTAGAAGATGAAATTTCACATAATATATATATTAAGAAAAAGGCAATCCTCAAAACAGAAAAGGCAACAGAAAGGAAAAAATACACAATGAGAAATTATATATTCCTTCAGATAATTTGGTCATCACAAAGCAACTGTGTGACATGCAAATAACAGTAGCCACACCCTCTCACCATTTGATATCACAAAACCTTGGGAGAGAAACTAATTAGTTGAATCTATATTGTAATAATAAGTCAAATCAGATGCCATTGCAGTTGAACATATGTATTCAAGACATAATAATGCCTTACCCTTTTCTGTTTATTAAAAAAAAAAATGAGACAGAGAAATCTAGTCGTTGTAACTGATATCAATAATCTCGGCTTCAACTGACCTGATATCCTATACTTGCCCCCATAACATTCCTTTTCCTGATCTTCTCTTTGATCTGTGAGGACAAAAAAAAAAAAATGAAAATGACTGAACGTTTTCACTGCAAATACCAGTTTTAATGCTCAACATACGATCATTTATACATTCATTCTGTACACAGGAGGGCTATAAGGATATCTGCCGTTTTATTATTAATAATCATAGATTCTCCTGTCTGTTGTGTGACTTATGGTAATCAACATCAAAGGGAAACGACCCAACTGATGCGGGAAATATGAAGTGCTTACGTCGTATTTCCCACTTACTAGAGCTGCAAGAGAACAAATTTCTCGTAGATATGAAGCAAGGAGCAAAACAGCATACAGTTCGTAAAAATAAATGAAGATATAGTGCAAAAGAACATAAACAAATTTCGACCAACTAGTATATTATATGGGACAACTTTTGTGGATTTAAACAAAGCATTAAGCACAAGCTTTCAGATTTTAGGTACCAACTTGAGCTGGATAAATGGAAACTTTCATGCCCGATTTTGTCCTCACTCAAAAAAGGAGAATATATATATCCAAGGGCAATAAATGGAAGACAACCATACCTTTCTCCGGGTAGATAATGCCTTCCTCCTATCTTTGTTTCATATATTGACATTTGATTCCATGAGTATCCATGGTTCCACTGGGCCACATTGATGCAAGCTGCATGAAGAAAAGGCAAACACCAAATTATACTTAAATTAAGTGACAATTTTTTTTATAAGCCACATGAGCTGTCAATTTTCTATAACACACCTTTTATTCATTTTGTTTGAGATGGTTACGATCCAATGCAATCTATTCCAGAGCAAATAATAGCGACAATAGTATGCTAATTACCTCTTTCAGTCTTCTGACCGGAGTGCCCGAGTTTTCTTCTAGCCTCTGAAATGTAGTAAATTAGACAAAACAAGTCCAAACACCCAATTAGGTGAAAACTTCTTCACCAAAATTTGCAAAAAATTGAAGTATTACCTCGACATAAAGGTCATATATGTCACAAATTTTATTTTCCAGAGCATCATCCATGCTGTATTTTCGTTTCAATGCTTCTTTCTCTTCTAGACCAACTCCTCGAAAATCATCTACACTCGCGGTTTAATATCCCAACTGCAAAGTATTTTGATATAAGGTAATAAATAAAATGGAACTCAAGAAATTGATCCTTGATATTTCAGAAAGTGGAGGTTATGATTTGGGGTTTTGGCAAGAGTCCAATGTACCCCAAGGTGAAAACTATTTTGTAGGATAAGACTGTAATTTTATTCAGAAATGAAACGAAAATCATAATAGATGCTACTGGAATTAAAATTAGTGAACAGAAAGCATGCCGTGGATTTCATATATGGAATTCTCTGTCTAACCATATCTGCAACTTCTTGTGTTATCTTCTGTAACCGATCATCCTTCTCTTGTTTAGCAGACAGACAACCCCAGATTAGCCATGATTTTAAGGTTTCTCTGAGAGAAAACTAACGGATTAGCACGAACTTGTAAATGAATCACATGTTATAAAAGCAGCATCAAATACATAATCAAGACATGACATGTCAGGTATGATATTAATGTGGAAATAATACCTTCAGTGTCCTAAGCTGCATTAAGTGGCCAACAATACTCATCAAACGATTAGTCACATGACTCACATCCATTGATATTTTTCCATAGCTGGCTTGCTGCAGCCATCCAGGCAAACAGATTTAATTCCCACAGAAAGATACAGCCTAATGGAAGCAAAAACCTATTGGATCGTTAAGTGTAGGCTTGGCAGACAGATATGAACAATTAGGATCTTATAAGCTCCTAAATACCGCCAATCTAGCAACTTTATCCAGTTTCTGCTTTATACCATGTGGCAATCTTCTTTTCACTGTCAGTGAAGAATTATCAAGATCCTGGACCTCCGTCAAAGGTGGTCTAGCTGTTGGGTTCAGATTTATATTTGAAGTAAATAATCGTAGCAAGAAATGTGGAATAAAGGAAAGAAAATAATAACAATATTAGAGTTAGTGTAATACATTCTGCAACTATTTTTTCCAACTCCCGGATGTCCTTCTCGAGCAATGTGACTCTTGATCGAACGTTAGATCCTTCTTTTCTTGGCATGACAGGAACCTTCTGAAAATAAAGTGTGACACCTTTATCAAGAACAGTAAGGAAAAATGTATAGGAAAAGGCAAAAATAAATATTATGCTAAAATTAATACAATATGAGGTACAAATTAACAGCTAAGACGGAAGACGGACAGAAGACGTAAAAACATTATGCTAGTAATCAATTTTATATGCGTTAGTTCTTTAAAGGAAGATAAATCATAACATTGTGCCAAACATACTGAGTAAGTTAAGTCACTCAAAGAATAACGATTGCAAAGATACACAAAGGAATTTCTCACCGTAATTTGTGGTTCACTGCTAATGCTAGCGCATGCTCGGTGCAATCACTCCGTCTGACTGACTAGTGGAGTTTCTTTCAATCGGTTTTCTACGTTTACTCACTATTTTCACTTGTTTGTTCGGATTTCGTACATCTGTATTCCCACTTTGAACTTTGGTTGAGTCTTCACGTCTCCTTTTCTTTGGCTGCTGGTGTGCTGTTGTGGCAGGTTTGCTGCAAGAAAAGTAAATTTCCATTGAAACAGTAGTTAACACCAAAAGCAAGTAGATTCGAAAAATGGAACTCACATGCGCTCCAACTTTCCGGGATTCACGAAAAAACCACCATGCTTTACGGACGAGTTATCAACCTGGAAATAATTATCCTGCACAGATTTCAGAGTTAATCAGTAACTAATTTGAAATTATCACCTATAATACAAAAGGGAAATATAAACTAATGGAATTGCAAAGTTCAATGCAAATAATTGAAGAGGACAGCCCAACAATTCCACATCATCGATGAACGAATCGTTTGTATCATATTCATCGTCATCAAGTACATAGTCTAGAAAAACATTCTCCTCTTCACTACTGCCATTACCCTACAAGTTCCACATACAATAGCAACAAAATAAGGAGAGTGGACAGATAGCCATTACCATGTATCTATCCCGTAATAACTGTATACATAAATAACGTTTCGTCTCAGTTATAAACCACATTAATAATGTTACAAGAGAAGAACAAAAATCTCCTAGTGAACAAAGAAAGAGCATTTCAAACATTATCAGACAATGCATGACTGCTATGACTAAACTAGGTATTACCCAACTCCAGCTCCAAAACTAAATAATGTTGATCCTTCCAGAACCACAAACTCACCAAACATTAGTGTCTGAACAAAATTCGATTTTTTAAGAATAAAAGGACAAAATTGATAAACTAGCGCCAGCATAGCCGATTGAAGGATAATCATACCGCATGCATGCGCTCGATTTTCTCAATTACATTGCCCAAACGGTTTGGTCCGGCCTGAGCTTGTGACTCTTCAACTTTCATTTTCCACCAGCTGCTTCGAAGACGCCACCGCAGGTGGCGGTGGCAGCGATGGGGGATGCGTAACTTTCTGCCGATGGACTTCCGACGACGGGCACGAAGCTGATGGGCTAGGTCCATTTGCGCTTGCTGGAGGAAGCCTCTTTGAGAAGCTGTTTCCACGAAACGATGGTGGTTTCTCCGGGACGGAGCTCCACGTGAACCGGAGACGGTCGCCGGAGGATTCAAATGAAGAGGTGGGTTTTGGCCCGGGAATCGGTTGGGGCCCACCAGCTCCTCCGCCTTCTACCATAAAGTCAGTATTCTGTTAACGAATCGAAAAAAAAAAAAAAAATAGGTTAAGAGAATTTCACCGGGGCATAATGTGTAATTAGATTAGAATATTGGGGTTAAAGTGAGATAATTTCTTACTTGACCGATCCGATTTTCGTAACATTTTGGTTTTTCGCTTTTAAACCGGTCGGTCATCCCTAATTTTATAAACCCTCCCCAAACACACTGGGTGAGGTTTTTCTCTTTCCCATTTGTGTCGAGTGTTGAAGAGAGAAAATGTGGAGGCCTATAGCGAGACGAGCTTCGCTCTACCGGCGGGCGGCGGCGCCGGGAATGCGCCCTGCCATCCATCTTCGTCGAGCACACCACAACGAAGGAGTACCATTACCAACAAAAGCTCTCGAATCCGCTTCTCGTTTCTCGTTTTTCTCGAGATCGTCCCATTTCCGTATAAACCCTAGATTGTTCACGACCTCAGCTCAGAATCACGATGACCCGCCCTCCGAGCCATTTGCTGATGAAGTCTCTGGTGGTTTTGATTTCGGCGCACCTGATGCGTTCGACGAAATTTCAAAGCTTAAATTTGGAAACGAAGGTTCAATCTTTGACGGTGCTGCAGGTGATATTGAAATGGATCAGGGCTCTGTTGAAAATCTCGAAGGCTCAGTTGCTGTGGATGGAAATTTGGATGCAGGGGATGAGAGCTCAGGGAAAGTACGGGGTAATGATCCTGAAAAGGTGGAGAATTTGTTGGCTATGCTTGAGGGCTGTGGTACTGGTGATGGGTTCCTAGAATCTCGTATGGAAGAGATGGATTTAGCTTTGGATCAAGAATTAGTGTTGAAGGTTCTCCAGGCCCCGTTTGTTCCTGGGGAGAATTTAATCGCTTTTTTCAAGTGGGTTTTGAATAAACAGGAGTTTAAGCTGAGTCCAGTGGTTCTAGATTCACTTGCTAGTGCAGTGTGCACTGGCATTGGTATCAGGGAAAGAGATGCATACGATTTATGGGATTTGCTGAAGGAGATTGGGGAGAAGAAGGAGAAGGGTATTGTGAGTACTGAGAGCTTAAACGCGTTGCTCACGGGATTCTCGAGGCTGGAGAAAGGGAAGGAGGCATTTGACTTGTTCAATAAGTTTGAGGAGTTTGGGTGCCCCTTGAATGCCGATACATACTATTTAACTCTCGAAGCCCTCTGCAAGAGATCCTTCTACAGCTGGGCGAGCTTGGTCTGTGATAAGATGCTGAATGCAGATATGCTGCCGGATCCCAAGAGAGTTGGGAAGATAATTTCCTTTTTCTGCAAAGGAGGCATGGCAAAAGATGCCCATTTGGTTTATGTGTTTGCCAAGGATAAGAAAATCCATCTGTCTCAGTCATCCATTGACTTCTTAATTATTTCTCTATCTCGAATAGTGAAGGCCAGTAAGCGGGCCGGGAAGAAAATCGATTCTGAACTCGACCGAGAAACTGTCTCATTGGCTCTAGAGATGTTGGGTGATTACTCGGCCGAAATTCGCAAACGCGCAACTAAGCCCTTCACGAGTGTCATTCAGAAGCTATGTTGGATTCAAGATGTGGGCCGGGCCAAAAAGCTGCTCCTTGAGATGGTTGACTTGGGCCCGCCTCCTGGAAATGCTGTGTTCAATTGTGTGATTAGTGGGCTTGCCAAATCTGAGGATACAGATGGGGCCCTGAATATGATGAGGCTGATGGAGAAAAGGGGGTTGAAGCCCGATTTGTACACTTACAGCGCAATTCTGAGTGGTTTTGCAAAAAATGGCGAAATGGAGCATGCGTGCAAGATTTTTGATGAGGCCAAGAAGAACCACTCGAAATTGACCCCGATTGTGTACCACATTTTAATCCGTGGGTTTTGCAAGCTCGAGCAATTTGACAAGGCTGTGGGTTTGTTGAGGGAGATGAGGGCGCATGGGGTGAACCCTAATCACGATGAGTACAATAAGCTGATTAAGTCTCTTTGCTTTAAGGCTTTGGATTGGGAGACTGCTGAGAGATTGGAGGAGGAGATGAGGTCGAATGGGGTGATTCTAAACGGAAGGACAAGGGCTCTTATTGTTGCCACCAAGGAGTTGCAGGAAGAAGCAAGTGCTGAAGAACTAACTCCTGCGTAAACTTAGTGAGAAGTTTTGTTATCGTTTTGCTGTAGAACCTCTGTCGTGTGAATTTTTCTCGAGATTTTGTTATTGTTATTTTGCATTTTCACATGTTCATCACTCATCAGGATTTAAGAGAAATGTGTTCTGGCTTCTGTGTACTGATGCTTTACAGTCAGCAATATTGTAGCCTCTGCTGTCGGTGATTTTATGAGGTTAATAAATAGGGCTTCATTCTACTATTCTAGCCATCTTTCATATTGAGTTAAATTTACGTTGCGGTTTATTTTCTATAAATGGGTCTGCAAATTAGTTGCGGTTTATTTTCTATAAATGGGTCTGCAAATTAGTTTTTCGTTCCACACAGAGTATTGATGACTACTGAATGCAGCTAAGAAATCATAATATAATGTCCAAATTTCATGAATTCAGTCATTCTGGTAGCAAAAGATGGCACCCGGCAAATAGCAGTAGTAAAGGGGACTACTGAATTCAGTCATTCTGGTAGCAAAAGATGAACAGACCTCATGTTTAGCAAGTCTTGTTCACAAGCTTTTCTAGTCAATAGCAAACTCTCCCATGTTAGTGCAGTTTTTGCCAATAGGAACAAATTCGAGAGAATTGTAATTCTACTTAAAAATCTCCAATAGCACGTCAACAATAAACGTGTGTGGATTTCTGTATGCAGATTCTATATGTGAAAATTTGTATCCTTTATACCTCCGAAAGTAACAAAAATGTTCTAATAGTAACTTTACCCAAAAGAAAAAATAAAAAAGTACAGAAAGAACAAACAATAGACAACTTTTCTCCCTAATCGTAAGAACACAAGCGAGCCGGCACATCCTTGTAAGCTATTTCACCTAAAGACACTATTTCAACAAAACCTGTATAACCCCCATAAAATCCCCTCCCCTACAGAGAGAGAGAGAGAGAGAGAGAGAGAGAGAAAAAAATCCAAATGCACCTCCTGAAAACATGTGCACCACTCATCGATAAGCCATATTCCGCAACCAACGGGAAAATCCACCCCATCCACTCACCTGACTTAAAATCGATGCCCGGACAATGCAAATTCAGAACTTGGAAAAAAATCGTGCAGGCCTAATTCCCAACCCCACACAGTGATCTTTAATCATCCGGGTCCATTTCCTCATGTTGTTGAACAGATGGGACTGTATCGACTTGACTATTATCATCCGGTTCCTGCAGATCTGTATCATTTTCATCTTCTTGTGTTTCGTTATCATCACCAGTGCTATCTTGTGAGATGACAGTAGTTGGACTTTGTTCTAACCCTGGAGGGCAGCTTTCCTGTACGGAGTACAAAGTTTGGAGTTTGGTACCCTTTTGGAAATCGGCATTTTTTACGGTAGAACACGAGCACTCAGGTAACGGGTGAGAGAGGAATGACTTTGGCTTTGCCCTCTGTGATTCTTGGAGAATGCCATTTTCCGATATGCTTTTGTTAAGGTGTTCTCTCACTGTGAGGGTCCAGTTTCGTGGGGGGTGGTAAAGATGGTCGCTTGTCGTGTTGATGAGTTTCGTAATATAGTTTCTGCAAAAAGAGTGAAAGACAATGCATAAATTACTGAGGGAGGAGAAAAAATATCAGCGAGAATAAAATCTTATCTCCACATCGTAAGTGATAAATTACTGTCGTGTTAATATGTGACCGCTCTTGATTTCTTCAATAAAAGAATGGGCTCACTCTCGATGTTTCACTTTCTATCACATCCTGTTATATTTGAACAGAAGAGCAAATCTCACCAATTTGTCATAATTATAGAGTGATTCTTCAGTTTACCAGTCCCACTTCTCCAAAACTCACCGTCGATCATTACAAAAAGTCTACAGATTCAAATATTTCAGATAGCAAAAAAACCGAGATTTGCTTAAACATCTAAAAGCAATAGCAAAAGTAAGATCGGATATCCCCACAAAACAGAAACTAAACAGTTTTACCTGTCAGGTCTATATGTTCTACTTGAGGCCGTTTTGAAAAGCCTATGCCCCATCACCAAGCTGGAAAAATCCGGCAACCCACTACCATCATTATCAAAACCAGGAAAAAAGGCATCAGCTTCAACAGAAACAATATAATCGAGTGCATCCCACAGCAAACGATGAGCCTGATCCCGTAGATTATTCGGTGTAGGATCTGGTTTGGACTCTTTTTCTGCAATCCACCCGTACCAGCCTTCCTTTTCATGTCTATAAATAGGCCATTCGGGAGGTGGAGGAAGAGGCCTAGGACGAGGGCCCGCTTTGTCCCATTCCTCTTTGAGCTCTTTACCGCTCTTTGTAAGAGGGAATTCAAAGGTATCGGAAGGAAGCTGGGTTTCTGGGCCGATGATGTGGGCCAGGTCCAGTTTACTGCACAAGTAAGTACGATCCACTGAGTTGGGAAAAAGAATAAAAAAAATAATCACCAAAGCTGGTTTCTGTGCTGGAACTTAAAGTTCTCTAACTTGCAATAGAACCAAGGTTGAAATTGTTAATCAGTAACTAAAACATGTGAAAGATTCCTCAAAAATTATGGACTGGTATGCATTATCAAAGTAAGACTTGGGAGAGACTGCTATGAAGAACTATTTGTACCTGTAAGCATCCGCCATCACCAAGTACTAACCCAATGACCTTAGCAGTTTTAAGTTTTGGTAGAACTTCATGCAAGAAGTATTTCGGGGCAGATGAACTTTTAGGTTTGAAGATTGGATATTGTTTCCTTTTCCTGCCCTCGCTCAAGCTTGACGGTAGGTTCTTCACAATGATCACATCACTTGCTAGAGCTTTTATAAACTTCTCCTCATCATATAAATATGAAAAGCTCTTGAACTTGGAGCTGCAAATCAAATTGCGTAATGAAATTTTCGTATATCATAGAAATGCCAATGGGTTTGTAACATGTCCTTGGACAACTAAACAAAAACCTGATGCCTTTTGATTGAGTGCTTTCTTGAATCTCAGGTATAACAAGGGTAGCATTGAGAAGCCTTGAAACTGCAACAAGATCGCAGATCTAGCAAATTTAAATACAGTTAGAAACTTCATATGCAGAAAGAAAGGGAAAAAAATCAGAGAAAATAATAATACCGAGGTCCTAATCTTCTCGAAGCCACCATGAATTTTCGCATAAATGAAACCATTGTTCTGCTCGTTTGGAACTGCATTTAAGATCTTGGTAAGTTTCAAACGGTAGACAGGGACGGCAAAATTGACAGATGGACTTCACCAAACAGAGAGATCATCCAAGTAACAACTCAAGTCCCCTTCTACATAATATTTCAAGTAAAAAAGCATATGAACTGATGACCTTGTCTTGTATACCCAAAGTTACATAAGTCAAGATGCTCTCATTTACCAGAAACTTTAACTTTCATAAAGTAGAAGTAAATAATTTACCTTCTTCCTGTCTTATATTACTTAAGCTGACAAAAAAAAAAAAAAGGTGAAGGCAAAACCTTTTCAAACAATGGGAGTGAATCTAGCATGTAACAGAGCAAAATAAAGACCACGAGGCCCACGGGACGTGAAACAACAAAAAGCACATTTTACTACAAGTGCACGTGCATGTTAAAAAATTAAGTTGTGTATATGGATTCTGTTGAAATTTATCTCAACCAGTTTTAAGAGTTAAGTCACTGTCGATAATAAGATACAGCTGAAACACATGTACAAATTTCACCTGAATATGTGGTTTTTGCTTTTGGGTTGGTATATATATGCATGATTTATCCACATAACAAACACAAACTTAGCCTGACTGACTGTGTGAACTTCAATATGGCCGAAACCAAATGTTCAATATAAACATGTAACAGGAGACTCACAGAATTAGCTTATGTATGCCACAAACGGCAAACTCAAGCAACATTTATTGACAATGAGATCAATAGAATCAACGCACAACTAGAAAAATCTCAAATCCCAATAGCATTAAATCAGGCATATTACCAGGATATGGTACACTTCTCTGGTTTGCATACGGCTACAGTGGCTCCAAATTGTTAACCTTCCCCCACAACCTCCTATATCCAACACCCTTCACCACGAGTAACGAAAAATTGTCCACACATCAGCAGTATATAAAATAATCTCATTTAGATGCGGAGCTTTATCATCTCAAACAAGCAACTGAAAAAAAGGTCTACCTTTACCTTTCTACCAGAATTATCAATGGGATTCAAATCCTCGGTGGAAATTGTACCCACGCCGTATTGCGCAAATCTCGTGCGCGACTTAGCCAGGAACAAATGCACCATTATCGAAGCACACGATAGCACGAGCACGCCAAGCACCGCCCATTTTAACTTTGATTTCATCATAATCTTCTCGGACCACACCATTATCGACACTCCCCCTACCCTACAAATCTACAATGCACGTTGAATAAGAACTGAGTTTAACACCAACCCAGAAAACAAAAATTGCCAAATCCAAGCCACAATTGCAGTAATTTGCAAATGAGCCCACCCCATTACAGGGTGGATTAAATTAAGTTAACTAACCCGAGTACTGGTTAATGGCGTTCGAAAATGAGTTAGTATTTACCGAGAGAAGGGGCTAACGCCGAACAACACCATGAGCATAAAAAGCCTCGAACTCAACTGAAGCGTTTTGATGCAATACAAAAGGGCACATCAATCGCCATTTACCAGACCGCGACCGGGCAAAAGAAACCCACTTGTCCCTCAATTTCAATGGAACGAGTTATTGAACAGAGTGTATATGATCGGGACTCTATAAACCCAGATATGTACATAAACGGCTGTTCAAATAAATCACACCTTTGACATTGATTTGTGAAGGGTGAGGAACTGGAGATGGAAACTGTACAGGGTTTAAAGATTTACTTATATATATTTGGAAAATGTTACGATCCCGTTGGTGTTTATAACCGTTACATCATCATGTAACCGTCGGAGATAGTTGATCTAACGGTTATAAATCTCGACGGAATGGTTCCCTAACAGTACCGTAACATCTCCCATATATATATGTGTATTTGGGATTTTTGGAATTTCTGGGAACAAAAACGATTTCTGTGATACAGAAGAAATCATATCTTTAACCTCAGAAATTGTTTCTAGAGCCCAGAAATTGACAATTTTTTATTTTTTTTTCACTAACTTCAAGATTGTATTCTTTCAAATTTTTTCAAAAAATTGAGTGTATGAAATTAATCCATTAGAAAAAAAAAAAAAAAACATTAGAAATTATAAACATATTTTTTAGACTAATATTTCTAAGATGTCGTTGTAATTTCACCGTAATATTACCGGAATTTTTAGATATGGAGAGAGGAGGAATTATGGAAAGAGGAGAGAGAATCTTCATTATGTTATGTTAATTTTTTTTATTATTTTTATAAAAGTAGGTAGTAAGGGTATTTTTCTCTATTCAATTACCAAAATTGCTAAAAAAAAATATTTTTTACAAAACATGACTAAATAAAATTAGTGCTAGTCATTTCAACATGGCTAAAAAAAACTATAAATATATCTCTTCAACTATATTTTTTTTTCCCACAAGCAAATCACATAAATAGTCATCTTGCTTACATTAGAGACATTATTATTCCCTAACAATTGGTAAACTCACACCCTTTTTTCTGCATTAGTGTCCAAACAAAACTCAACAAACACACTCAAAACTCCATGTACACTAACCCCACAAAACTTTCTTCCATTTTAAACAAA